AAAAGAAAAGTCATTTTCTATGATTTTGTTTTACCTTGGGAGAACAAGATTACCTATTTCAGTTCTGGGCAACTCACCATACGCTTACTGATTACTCTGTACATGAGACAGTGGCTAACTTCTTCTTTCTAGTCTTTTGATACATACATCCTTTCTACCACAGTGGCTATTTCAACTCATCCTCTACCCAATTTCTGAGACTCAAAGACTGTCATACTGAAGTACACACATCCTCTACCCAGTCTCTGAGACTCAAAGACTGTCACACTGAAGTACACACATCCTCTACCCAGTCTCTGAGACTCAAAGACTGTCACACTGAAGTACACACATTCTCTACCCAATTTCTGAGACTCAAAGACTGTCACACTGAAGTACACACATCCTCTACCCAGTCTCTGAGACTCAAAGACTGTCACACTGAAGTACACACATCCTCTACCCAGTCTCTGAGACTCAAAGACTGTCACACTGAAGTACACACATTCTCAGTTAGAAAGTATTGAAGGTGCAGCTATCTAAAGTGGAAAAAGTGAAAAAAAAAAAAAAACCACATTAAGTATAGTAAATTCAAGTAGCTCACTGACTGATAGGCAAAGACCTTTAGTGGGGATAAATGCCTAAAACAAATTTTACAACGTAATGTTAATCCTTACACACCAACAGACAGACATCAGATATCATCATCATCATTCCTTCATGCCATTTTTATATATATATATATATATATATATATATATATATATATATATATATATATATATATATATATATATATATACATCAAATAGAGCTCACAGTCTATTCTTCCATTCTGCTCTATGGTACGCAATTTATCAATATCATGTAAGGAATTCAATCCAGCCATTTTGATTGATCTCTCTCATTCAACTTTTGTCTTTAACACACACACAAAAACAAAACAAAAAACTCAGTTAAATATGATAAATCCAATGAAAATTTATTTGCAGATAGCAGTGGCTCATTTGTCAAACATGTACTGGTGTATTTAAACTATCTGAACAACCTGTGGAATGTGAAAATAGTGTAGAAAAACAAAGCGCATGATAATAGAAGGTGAAAAAATAAATACTGAAAAAAACAGTTAAGGGAATCTAATTCCCTCACTCTGGTTTCATTGGACAGAAGAATCAATATTGAGACTTAGAACAGATACAACAAAGCAAGTCCAGACATTAGTTAGAGTTACTAGACTCAGGTATAAGTCTGGGTCAATAACACAGAAGTATCAACACTAGAGTATAAGCTTGAGTCAATAGCTATAGAGGTGCCCACACTACAGTTCCAATTTGTGTCAATAGCTATAGAGGTGCCCACACTACAGTTCCTGTTTGTGTCAATAGCTATAGAGGTGCCCACACTACAGTTCCAGTTTGTGTCAATAGCTATAGAGGTGCCCACACTACAGTTCAAGTTTGTGTCAATAGCTATAGAGGTGCCCACACTACAGTTCAAGTTTGTGTCAATAGCTATAGAGGTGCCCACACTACAGTTCAAGTTTGTGTCAATAGCTATAGAGGTGCCCACACTACAGTTCAAGTTTGTGTCCATAGCTATAGAGGTGCCCACACTACAGTTCAAGTTTGTGTCAATAGCTATAGAGATGCCTACACTACAGTTCAAATTTGTGTCAATAGCTACTGAGGTACCGACACTGAAATAAAAGCTTGTGCCAATAGCTACAGTAGTACCATCATTGAAGTAAAAGATTGTGTCAACAGCTACAAAGGTACTAACACTGAAGTAAATGCTTCTGTCAATAGCTACAGTAGTATCAAGACTACAGTATAAGCTTGTGTCAATAGCTACAGAGGTAACAGCACTAAAGTAGATGTTTGTGTCAATAGCTACAGTAGTATCAAGACTACAGTATAAGCTTGTGTCAATAGCTACAGTAGTATCAAGACTACAGTATAAGCTTGTGTCAATAGCTACAGTAGTATCAAGACTACAGTATAAGCTTGTGTCAATAGCTACAGAGGTAACAGCACTAAAGTAGATGTTTGTGTCAATAGCTACAGTAGTATCAAGACTACAGTAGAAGCTTGTGTCGATAGCTACAGAGGTAACAGCACTAAAGTAGATGTTTGTGTCAATAGCTACAGAGGTAACAGCACTAAAGTAGATGTTTGAGTCAATAGCTACAGAGGTAACAGCACTAAAGTAACAGCCTGTGTCAATAGCTACAGAGGTAACAGCACTAAAGTAACAGCCTGTGTCAATAGCTACAGAGGTAACAGCACTAAAGTAACAGCCTGTGTCAATAGCTACAGAGGTAACAGCACTAAAGTAACAGCCTGTGTCAATAGCTACAGAGGTAACAGCACTAAAGTAGAAGCTTAAGTCAATAGACACAGAGGTACAAAGACTGGAGCACAAATTGTGTCAATAAATATAGAAGTACCTACACTATAGTACAACTTTGTGTCAATAGCTACAGAGGCACCAACACTAGAGTACAAGCATGTGCCAACAGACAGAAATACCAACATGAAAGTAAAAGCATGTGTCAACAGCTGAACATAGAAGAAAACTAGCTTAACTCTTTGAGTCCCAAGGAACGCATTATACGTTCATAGGTTCCTACCTAGAAGCCCAATGAATGCAAGATGCACCGATTTCATGTCTTTCTTGACTACCCTTGGGCCTGTAATGCTAAACCCCCTGGGACAAACAGTATCATGTCTTAGAGACTAAACATAAAGAATTTGCAGTGTCCTAGGAAAAACATTATTATCACCATGGTTCTTGATAGACATGATAAAAGTCAACAAAAATGATGGTGGACACAAGACACTACAGACATCCTGAACATATAAATGCAAAAGACAGAAGAACTGGTAAATAATTGAGTCTCATTTCTGTAAATTGTTAAGGGAGTGATGTTTTTGCAAACGGCTTGTACCTGCTGCCTGCTGGTGATGAATGCTACCTTTAAATAATTGAAAAAATATGCTGTCTCCACATGAAGGTTGCTGCAGTGACTTCTTTAGGAAGTCTATTCTGTGTGGCATTGTTACTCATGTCTATCCACAACCTTCTGTTTCATTTACTTTCAATTAAATCTGACACAAATAATCCACCATGCCATGATGTCAGACTGTCCAACACCTTCTCTCTCGGTCTCCGTCTGCGTCTTTTCCCCTTCAACTTTCACACAATCTGGCTGTACTTCAGTTTTCTCCGTCCAATAACATGACCAAAGTGTGTAGATTGTCTTCTTCTGATGTGAGTAATCAGTTCTCTTTGAGAATCAGTTTATTTCAAGACATCTTCACTACTCTTTTTATCTGTCCAGGTTAACTCATAATTGGTCTATAAAACCACATCTCAGCAGCTTTGAAATAATTTTTTGCTAATTAGCTGCAATGTATGCTGTGATAATTATCTGAATATTACATGGTGACACCTCTTCCACATTGCAATTCTCCTATAACTGTCTGAAAGTTACACACCTTTTTATAAACAATCTCTGCAGGAATCAAAACCTGGTAAATGTTGAGGACTGTATTGTGAAACCATTTCACTAACTTCTCGGCTAGAGAGCTTCATTTTACAACCATTATAGAAATATAAATCTATGTAGTTACTGCAAACTCACTCATACAGAACCAGATTACAGAGACCAGAAGTAATGGAATAATAATGGGGAAATTAATGCAGCTAAAGTAAATAACTTACCAATGAAAAAATGTAAGGAATCAATTGAAAGATACAAGGATTTAAATGTATAAAGACGCAAATTAAAGTTTCTATAAGAAACTGAGTAAGAAAATATATGTATAGAAGCAAATGAAAAAGGGACAAATTAAAAATGTACACACACAAAAAAGTAAGTAAACTAAAAATTTGTAAGAAACTACATACATAAATAAGTAAATGAAAATTAGTAAGAAACTACCTATAAAATTAAAAGTAATTGAAAATTAGTAAGAAACTACACACATAAACAAGTAAATGCAAATTAGTAAGTATAAACAAGTAAATAAAAAAAATAAAAACTAGTATGGAAGCAGACATAAAAAAAACTAAATGAAAATGTTAAGGAAGAAAATATGTAAACAAGTAGATAAAAACTATTAAGAAAGTAGATTTATAAATAAGTTAAAATAGGAAAATAACAATTTGTAAGGAAATAGATATTTCAATTAGTAAATTTACAATTTGTAAACAACAGACATATACATAAGTGAATAACAATTAAGGACGTAGATATGTAAATAAATGAACATTTCTAAGAAAGTGGATATTTAAATTAGTAAACAACAATTTGAAAAGAAATAGATATAAAAAAGTAAATGAAAATTTGTGAGGAAATTGATAAGTAAGTAAATGAAAACTTGCAAAGAAGTAGATACACAAATAAATGAAAACTTTTAAGAAAGGAAGTAGAATTATAAAGCAGCTAATAATCAATGCATAAAAAAAGATAAAAAAAAAAAAAAGTAAACAAAAAAGCAATCACTAAAGATAAAGTAAACAAAACAAGCAAAAAAAAAAAAGATAAATTAAACAAAACAGGCAAACAAAAAAGATGAGTAAACAAATAAGCAAACAAAAAAGATGAGTAAACAAATAAGCAAACAAAAAAGATAAAGTAAACAAAACAAGCAAACAAAAAAAAAAGATGAGTAAACAAAACAAGCAAACAAAAAAGTTAAAACAAACAAAACATACAAAAAAAAAAAAAAAAAAAACACTCAAGATAAAGCAAACAAAACAAGCAAACAAAAAAGATAAAGTAATCAGTCGTATCATGTCTTTTGCTAATTAAATCATGGAAGATAAGGAGAACCACATAACAGCACATGTCAATGCTTATTATACCAAGGAAACATTAAATCCAGCAAAATAATCTACCAGCATGAAGAAGCCACATCACAACCTGTTAATATTGCACATTTGATTTAGTTCTGTGGCACAGAGAGCAAGCCAAACAACCATCTTCCAATGACACACTGTTAACCCATATCATGTGTTCACCTCCGCCCAGGCGATTGGGAACTAGCCAGACACAATTTCTTTGATTCGTGGTACATGGTTCCCGAAGAGCACAGTGACGTAGCCAGGACGCGGCCTTCGACGCAGTACATAAATCCTCGTGTAATGCCACCACCTGGTGGATTGCCATGAATGCCGTTGGTTTGGTTTTCACAGCTGGGCAGGGCCTTCCTGCACTGGTCACACGTGGGGAACTGTGGGCTTGGACATACAGATGCTTGGTCACCTGCGGAGATTATTTTATAAATAAATTATTCTCATTCTGGTGCACAATAGCATACATTTAAAAATGTGTATAGCTAAAGAAAAGCAGCAAGTTTTGCAACATGCATCTTTCCTGTGGAAAAATACGGAGATCAGTCATGGATCATTTTATTCAACTAAATATGACTAGCAAGATCAGCTCATGTTAAGAAGAATCTTTCAAAAAACGTGCATGATATTTTAAGACAACTGTTGCCATTATATGTATGTAAAGGTTGCCATCACATGTACGTGAAGGTTGCCATCACATGTACGTGAAGTTTGCGATCACATGTACGCGAAGGTTGCCATCACATGTACGTGAAGGTTGCCATCACATGTACGTGAAGTTTGCGATCACATGTACGCGAAGGTTGCCATCACATGTACGTGAAGGTTGCCATCACATGTATGTGAAGGTTGCCATCACATGTAAGTGAAGGTTGCCATCACATGTAAGTGAAGGTTGCCATCACATGTAAGTGAAGGTAGCCATCACATGTAAGTGAAGGTTGCCATCACATGTATGTAAAGGTTGCCATCACATGTACGTGAAGGTTGCCATCACATGTACGTGAAGTTTGCCATCACATGTACGTAAAGGTTGCCATCACATGTACGTGAAGGTTGCCATCACATGTACGTGAAGGTTGCCATCACATGTACGTGAAGGTTGCCATCTTTAGTATGTGAAGGTTGCCATCACATGTACGTGAAGGTTGTCATCACATGTACGTGAAGGTTGCCATCTTTAGTATGTGAAGGTTGCCATCTTTAGTATGTGAAGGTTGCCATCTTTAGTATGTGAAGGTTGCCATCTTTAGTATGTGAAGGTTGCCATCTTTAGTATGTGAAGGGTGCCATCACATGTACGTGAAGTTTGCCATCACATGTACATGAAGTTTGCAATCACATGTACGTGAAGGTTGCCATCACATGTACGTGAAGTTTGCCATCACATGTAAGTGAAGGTTGCCATCACATGTACGTGAAGGTTGCCATCACATGTACGTGAAGTTTGTCATCACATGTACGTGAAGGTTGCCATCTTTAGTATGTGAAGGTTGCCATCTTTAGTATGCGAAGGTTGCCATCTTTAGTATGTGAAGGTTGCCATCTTTAGTATGTGAAGGTTGCCATCTTTAGTATGTGAAGGTTGCCATCTTTAGTATGTGAAGGTTGCCATCACATGTACGTGAAGGTTGCCATCTTTAGTATGTGAAGGTTGCCATCTTTAGTATGTGAAGGTTGCCATCACATGTACGTGAAGGTTGCCATCTTTAGTATGTGAAGGTTGCCATCTTTAGTATGTGAAGGTTGCCATCTTTAGTATGTGAAGGTTGCCATCTTTAGTATGTGAAGGTTGCCATCTTTAGTATGTGAAGGTTGCCATTTTTAGTATGTGAAGGTTGCCATCTTTAGTATGTGAAGGTTGCCATCTTTAGTATGTGAAGGTTGCCATCTTTAGTATGTGAAGGTTGCCATCACATGTACGTGAAGGTTGCCATCTTTAGTATGTGAAGGTTGCCATCTTTAGTATGTGAAGGTTGCCATCTTTAGTATGTGAAGGTTGCCATCTTTAGTATGTGAAGTTTGCCATCACATGTACGTGAAGGTTGCCATCTTTAGTATGTGAAGTTTGCCATCACATGTACGTGAAGTTTGTCATCACATGTACATGAAGTTTGCCATCACATGTACGTAAAGGTTGCCATCACATGTACGTGAAGGTTGCCATCTTTAGTATGTGAAGGTTGCCATCACATGTACGTAAAGGTTATCACATGTACGTGAAGGTTGCCATCACATGTACATGAAGGTTGCCATCCCATGTACATGAAGGTTGCCATCACATGTACGTGAAGTTTGCGATCACATGTACGTGAAGGTTGCCATCACATGTACATGAAGGTTGCCATCACATGTACGTGAAGTTTGCCATCACATGTACATGAAGGTTGCCATCACATGTACGTGAAGTTTGCGATCACATGTACGTGAAGGTTGCCATCACATGTACGTGAAGGTTGCCATCACATGTACGTGAAGGTTGTCATCTTTAGTATGTGAAGGTTGCCATCACATGTACGTGAAGTTTGCGATCACATGTACGTGAAGGTTGCCATTACATGTACGTGAAGGTTGTCATCACATGTACATGAAGGTTGCCATCACATGTACGTGAAGGTTGCCATCTTTAGTATGTGAAGGTTGCCATCACATGTACATGAAGGTTGTCATCACATGTACATGAAGGTTGCCATCACATGTACGTGAAGGTTGCCATCACATGTACATGAAGGTTGCCATCACATGTAGGTGAAGGTTGTCATCACATGTACATGAAGGTTGCCATCACATGTAAGAGAAGGTTGCCATCACATGTAAGTGAAGGTTGTCATCACATGTACGTGAAGGTTGTCATCACATGTAAGTGGATGTTGCCATCACATGTACATGATTTTATTTTCTCCGCAGACTCTCAGCTCTCAACCTGTCTCTAATCCATTTTTCCCATATTCCCTTTCTACTTTCCCCCTCCATGCAATGTAATCCATAGCATCATGTTTCCAAGAAACCACCTCAATACTTGTATCATTCATGTCCCACTTGAACACATCTATAAATTGTTGTAGAGGCTGACATCAACATCTTCTTCAGCTTGTGCACTATCAATTTTTTTTCATTTACATATTTTCCTTTATACTATGCTGCCAAACTATCCAACATTTTCTGTCTAGTCTTCCTCTCTCTACCTTTCTTACTTCCCACTATGTCCCGAGTTATTTCAGTTTGTCCTCTTTCATGGCATGCTCAAATGCATGTTGATTGACTTTTTATGATCAGTCTTTGTGTTAATTTCTTTCAAGAGCTTTCATTATACTTTTTATATATCAGGATGTTCTCATAATTGTTCTATAAAATCACATTCTTGCAGCTCACATGTAGTTTTTCACAAATCAAATGACTGCACAATTCACCTCTGCACATGGAAGTCATGCTTTAAAACCTCTCTCACCTCTGCACATGGAAGTCATGCTTTAAAACCTCTCTCACCTCTGCACATGGAAGTCATGCTTTAAAACCTCTCTCACCTCAGCTGACAATAATGTAATCGTCTTCAACTTGAACAATTATACTTTTGCTTGAGCTTTTTTGTATTTAATGTCTTTAATACAGTTTCCATGCTCACGGTACCTAATCTTACAAATATACTGTACATTTACAAGTGCAACTTGTGTTGCAGTTTGAAGGATATATTTTCTTTGTAACAACCAGTATTCAAGATAAAAACTGTGCTTTGACATTATGCTTTGTTAAATGGAATCAGATCATGAGATATAGAGAGAGACCTACAAACACTGAGAGTTCCTAACTAGAAACAGAAGGCCAATCACAGAGATAAAAGATGATGTGTGATATCTGCAGCAATGAACCCTAAGGGCTAATAATGATGATGAACGTGAAGAAGAAGAAAAAGAAGAAGAAGAAGAAGAATCACAGAGATAAAAGATGATGTGTGATATCTGCAGCAATGAACCCTAAGGGCTAATAATGATGATGAAGGTGAAGAAAAAGAAGAAGAAGAAGAAGAAGAAAAAGAAAAGAAGAAGAAGAAAGAAGAAGAATAAGAACAGTCAAGAGGAAGAACAAGAGAAAATAAGAATAAGGAGGAAAAAAAAGTAGGGGGAGGAGAAGACAAAGAAGGAAAAGGAGGAGAAGAAGAAGAACAGGACTTTAAAATAAAACCACCATGAGTTGAAGTAGCAGTCAAGACAGAATAGGTTAGTGTAACATCTGGATGGGGTAATAAAAGCTGAACAAGTAAATGATGCAAGCAGAAACCAACAGATGCATGGAGAATTTAAACCTAAGTAAAAGAAAGGACACCTGTCTCATCAGTGGCACAATAAGAATGTGATTCCATTCCAGTCGATATTTAGGAAAAATTAATTTTTAAAAAATCAGTCACGTTCAACTTATTATGAGCAGTTCTGGTTATAATTGTTTTTTTTTTTTAAATTACTTGTTCCAAATTTAACGGCTTTAAAAGTTTTTGGTGCCATTATAAATGGCCAAGTGGCCCTACTGTTGTGTCGTGTTTTCAATCCTTTCATGCCTGGGTCCATTATTTTTTTTAAATGGTTTTAGTGAGTGTCTTTGTTGCTTGTCTGATAGTATAAATTAGGTTGTAATTGTGATCTGTATAAATGGGGGTTAGTCTTTTGTAGGTAAGTATATGTGATGCCAAGGTAGTGACTTCTGTTCTCTATCCTGTTGGGGTCCAAGTATTATTATACCTATTTATATTATTTTGGTGTCCTAGTAAAAATCTTTTTTGGCTTGTCCATATCCTCAATTATATCACTGCACTGTACTAGGGCACAGTTCACTGTTCATTTAAACATCAACTTCATTGCAAATCAGACTAGAGTATGATGCTGGAACTCATACTTTTATAGATCGATCAGCACAGGGTGGGTTGATGAAAATAACAAAATGCTAGCTGCCTTTACTTCCTAGGACTTGACCTGGTACACATTTTACACTCAGTCTACCTGGAAGCGAAGGTCATTTCTGGAAATCATCCGACTTGATGCGGTTTGAAACAAAACCTTTAGGCTTTGGTAAAGAGTTAAGTTACAGAAATGAAGATACTTACAATAATGTTTAGGCTGGAATTTAGTACCGCAGCCGGTGGTCTTCAGGACTTTGATAAAGTTCTCACAGGACCTGACATTACTGTCAAACAGCCGCAGGTACCGGCACTCCTGCAAGTGAGGCTTGCCCTGGAGACCCCTTTCTGCTGGGTGTGAACAGTTGAAAAACTGGCCACAGTGGGTAGGGTGTGGAATTATTGCTTGAGGATACTTTCTACAGAAGCTGACAGTGTTCCTTTGTGCTTCTGTTACAACTGAGGAAGATACAGAGCAGTTATTTGTAAATTCTTTCTGTCCTAATGTCTGTCCACAGCCTTCTGTCTTGTATACTGCCAATCATGTCCAATAAAGATGTTCTACCCTTCCCCCCCCCCCCCCCCCCCAATTAAAAGCCTCTGAAATAAAAAATGCCTGAGGAAAATGATGCACATAAAATGGGAGCTATTCAAAAGAAGTTCAGAAATAAGAGACAAGTCTGGGAACCCTTACTATCAACAATTATAAGACAGAGAAGATGGCGCTGTATTGAACACATTCTGAGGAGAGATGAGCAGAGAATCACCAAACAGGCACTACAATGGAAAACAGAGGAACTAAGGAGCTGAGGATATTCCAAAGATACACTAAGGCAAATACTGATGACAGAAACCAAAAGATCTGGACTGGATTCCATCCACGAGATCGAAGTGATTGCACAGGATAAAACTAAGGCAAATACTGATGAGAGAAACCAAAAGATCTGGACTGGATTCCATCCACGAGATCGAAGTGATTGCACAGGATAAAACACAATGGATAAGTTGAGTAGAGTCAAGAATTGACACAAGAGCACTCCAGGCATTCTCATGTGTACTCCATCATCATCTTCTGCAGCCAGTGCAGAGTTCCAGTACTGATTGTACCGGTCACAATCTGGTTGGTTGTATGTCTGTCTTGCCTTTTCTCTGAGTGTAGTGAGCTGGTCAGACCCTCTGGTTCACACTCAGGTGTCTCATTCTTTTCAGGCCATAATAATCTTGTTTCTCTACTGATTCCGTTGCTTGTTCCAAAAGGACCTTGACCACATCTGCCTTGTCACGTATCAATTCAGCCCCCAGTGGTGGAGATCCAGCCAATCTGTTCATTACCCACTATGCTGGTTTTGTATTTTCGCCGGGTAGCTCTACGCCTGGGTTCATAGATTAGATAGACTGAAAGCACTTTGCCCTTTTTGACATATTAGAGCACAATCAGAAAATGGTCAAATGAATGAATTAATGATACCAAACTAATTAAAATCTTCTCTCTTTGCCTCTCTTGTATACATTTGTCAACCCATTCTATTCAATGCAGACAGAAGATTGAAAATAACAACAATTAAAACTGTTTTTTATCCTAACAGACCATCCAATGATCAGTCAGGCTCACTCCACATATCAGCAAGTCAAGTGATGACAGATAAGAATGTTAACTTCCATGTTAACACACACATGAGCAGCAGGTGAGATGGTTTGGCCATCTGATGAGAATGACTTGGTATCAACTGCCACGGACAGCCATGTTGAAGAAATACAATGGATACAGACCAAGCAAAGACCATTCAGAATATGGAATGATTTCATCAAGAAGACCCTTAAGGAAATAAAGACCAACTTAAAAAACACACTGAAAAAGAACACTCTGAAGATCTTTAGATCTCCCTCACCCAAAATACTTTGTTTAAAAAAAGAATAGAAGAACTTCCATAATTAATAATCTGTTGTCTCAGTATAGGACGCAATTTTTCATTATTTTAAAGCCTTACCCCGGCTGTAGTTGGGAGCTCTGATATAACCTATTGGTTGAACGGGGTTTCTGGCACCTCTCCCCAGGTGATCCTCATCTGCTTGGTGGCACTTTCTGTCACCAGGTGTTTATCACTTGGTGGATGTCCTAGTAGGGTTGAATCTCACTCACCCACTCAGAACTTTCAAGTTAGGGTTAGCTGGTGAATATGTGACGACTTGCTTGGTCTAGAATTAGATATTCTTTATGGCAGAATGTCTAACTAGCCATACACAGTGGGAAACCCTGTAGTCAGAGAATTAATTACTGAACCATGGAAGAACGTCTCAACTAGCAGTATTCAATGGGGAGGTCTATAGCATAGAATTAATTACTGAACCAAGACAGAATGTCTAACTAGACACAGCATAGGGAGCTCTGAAGCTGTAAAATTAATTATTGAAGAACCACGGCAAATGGTTTTGATAGCCACAAAATGGCAGTCGGTCGCTTCAACTACTGCAATATATTGTTAAATTTTACAAGCTACACTGTTGGCAACAATGGGGTGCTCAACTTTAGTAAAAGTAATCTACCCTTTTTTTAACGCTGGTGGCATATCAGGTATATTATGCAAGACTTAAGAGATGACAGAAGTGTATAAACCTGGGAGGTGGCTATATGAAAAGGAACAAACACTGTACCAAATTTCAACTTTCTATGTCACTTTTTCATACTCAGGGTAAGGATTGTAGTCCTTCCATGTATGGATTATCTGTCTGTTCTACTGCACTGACAATTTGATCTCACAATGAATGGACATTTACCTTTACTCAACAAATACTCTGAAAAGCTTACCAGTTTCTAGTTTAAGACCACAGCGCCTAGCATCAGGATCAAAAACAGATCTAACACATTTGAGAATGGACAGGGTCCTGCCTTGATCACAATTGATAAAATCTGGGGTGAACAAGCGTCCTGGATAGTGCATTAATCCATCCGGAGCTCCCAGGCAGCTTGGGTAACGCAGCTCACATGGAATGCAGGTGTGCTGGGGGTTGTCTGGGCATGTGTCTGCTGAGTCCACTATGCATCTGCTGACGTTTTCAGAACATTTTCTCAGCTCCTCATAGTCACCTTTACAGAATTCAGAATAACAATAATGCATTTAAGATAACCATTAAGCATGATAAGCTCATGCTTAGGGCATCACAATGGAAGAGGGCACCACATAAATTGTCAACAGTCTTAGAGCTAAGCATTTATTTGTCTCTGTTGAAGTACATTAAACAATTTTTTTTTTTAAAATCCCATCAGAACAACTATGCACCAACACAGTCTAGATGCCTTATCTCTGTTAAGTATAGAAGCAGACACACACACACACGCACACACATACTGGGAAAATCCTGAAAGACACAAGAAAAGAATCATAAAGCAGGCACAAATTGGAAATAGGATGTGAAGAGGTCCAAAATGAACCCTAAAATGTATGTTGATGAGGGAGGCCAAAGGTGCTGGACTGAATTCCATTCATGATGTTGAAAAGATTACACAGGATAGAACAGAATGGAGGAATCGACCGTAAGCCCTACAGGATGGTAAAAGAGGACAATCCTGATGATGTTGACATGGCCTGGACTGTAAGAAGAAAACATACAGTATAAACATTAAATATATTCAATATGTGTTATCTCCTTTATCAGGTATTTCATGTATAATCTGAATTCTAAGGACTCCAGTTTGGGAATAAGAAGAATAGACCCAGTGTCCCTTACCATGTTGTAAGTGACAAAAACAGTTGAGTTGAGTCAAAAATTGACATCACAGCACTCGGGGCACTCCAATGCATGCTCCATCCTCATCTTCAGTAGCCAGCGCAGAGTTCTAATACTGATGGTACCCGTCACAATCTGGTTATATGTCTGTCTTGCCTTTTCTCTGAGTGTAGTGAGCCAGCCAGACCCTCTGGTTACACCCAGGTACCTCATTCTCTACAGGTCATAATAATCTTCTTTCTCTACTGATTCCATCATGTGTTCCCATAGGGCGTTGACCACATCTGCCTTGACATGCATCAATCGGCCACCCAGTGATGCAGATCCAGCCAATTACTACAAATAATTAAGGGTTTGCTGAAATCGGATGTGCTGAGCCAAGAATCACAGATATTGCACACTAGCTGCAAACCACAACACAATGTACCTACCACCTTTTTTGAGGGAAAATGCAGAAAAATAAGAAGCATACAGACTTACAGGGTGTAATGGCCGGTTTTCTGGAGCCACACACAACAGTCTTGTAACTGTGACACAAGCCATTGCTAAACAGTAATGGATATGGACATTCCTCCATTTTAAAAGTGACACCGGAAAATTCGACTCCAATATCCTGAGGTCCACATCTGAAATACTTGGCACAGTACAGGGGGTGGGCCATAACCTGGCCTGGCCGATCTTTGCAAGCGTATTTAATAGTATCTGAAAGTTCAATTAACAAAAAAATATGAAAAACGTTATACCTCATTCTCAACTATTTCTGTACTAAAATATTCACTTCATGTTTTTTTGGGTGGTACTTTTCTACAAAGTTGTTTACATCCATCCATGTGGCAAACATTTTCTTGATTCACAAGGTTAGCAGACGGTGTCATGACTAATTTGCCATTTTGATTCATACACATTCTAGCGAGTCATATTCCAAACAAAGTTTGTATATCAAGCAACATTTTTCATGTCTACAGAGGATGTACACCAAGCTGGTTGTATACCAAAGCGGATGTATATCATGTTGTACAAAAACTTTTTTTTTAAAGAATCAAAGGAAGTTTTCTTGACAAGTTATTGGCTTTTTAAAAAATCCATGTTGATGCAAAATGTTCACCACAGCTTTAGTGATGGAGGTCACTAGCTTATGGCATAACACAATATATGTTTTTAGGTCTCTGGGAATGTATTCTAATTAACATTTCACACTGTTAATATTTATTGCCTAATCACTATATACTTCTTTAAATATTTCAACAAGGAATTTAGAAAATGTAGATAACTGTCTTTTTTAAAAGTGGTTAATAACATGTGTAAAATGGTTGCTTTTTAAGAATTCTTTTAGGAAATTCTACACGCTCATGAAAAAAACATTTTTTTTTAGCATTTCCAGGTGAAAGAATTAAGTAGCATTTCTGCCCCAAAATAATTGTCAAAGTTAAGATTCTTTCTAGTGACCAATTTTTAATATGTTCATTACAATGAACAATCATATCCAATTTGTTTACATACAAGCAGAAAATATACACATCTAGTGACCTCATCTTTGTTATATATATTAAAAAAAATGACTAACTTATTGCTAGAACTTATATTCCATCAAAATTATCCTACAAACATCCATTTTCTCTAAAACATTTACTACTACATGAGAAATGACAGAAATGATAAAAGTTGGAAATCAACTTACCGTTTTGTAAAACATTGCTGCATTGATTATGTAAACTGTCATAAAACTGTCCACTAGGACATGTAGTAACATTGACGACTCGACTGAACCTGCAGGATACAGCTGCATTAGTTAAGCCAGCATTTAGTGGAATGACTCCATTAGTTGTAGTTATGCATGATGGGTAAATCTGCAAACATTCTTTGCATCCTGCTGATGTGTTGTTACTGCACATGCTGCGATAGTCACCTGAAATCAAAAGTCAGGTCCATGATTGCCTGTATCATTTACACGATCCCAGATAAAATTTAGAACAGACACATGACACATGCTCACCCAACATAGTGAACCTCATATATATCACATATGTCCACATAAAATAACACCTGATATATCACACGTCTACATAACACATTGAACCCTAACATTTTCCACATACCCACATAACCTACTGAATCCTGATAATTCACACTTGCCCACATAACATTTTAAACAACTGATATATCACACATGTCCACAAAACATATTAAACAACAGCAACATCACACATGACCACATAACATACTGAACCCTGATATATCATACAAAGCTAAGAGATAAACAGGCAGGTTTTCGGTCAAACAGATCCTGTACTGTCCAGATAGCCACATTACGTATTATAATAGAGCAAAGCATTGAACTGAACTCACTACTTCACATTGGATTTATAGACTATGAAAAAGCATTTGACAGCATTGATAGGGATCTCTCTAGAAATTGATGGGGCACTATGGAATCCCACAGAAAATTATTAACTTAGTAAAGGCAACATATAAAGACATGAAATGTCGAGTTCTTCATGATGGAAAGCTAACAGATGCATTTGAAATAAAAACAGGTGGGATGTCTTTTGTCGCCTCTCTTATTTTTACTGGCTATAGACTGGATTATGACAACAGTAACTGCTAACACCAAGAATGGAATTCAGTGGACCCCTACAAAACAGCTTGATGATCTGGACTTCGCTGATGATATTTCTCTTCTGTCCCATTCACGGAATCAGATGCAAGATAAATTAAATATACTTGATGCAAGATCACAGCAGCTTGGTCTGAAAATCTATAAAGGAAAGACAAAGATAATGAGAATAAATCAGGCAAATAGTAATGTGGTTTTCTGTAATGGCACCCCACTCCAAGACGTGGAGTCGTACACTTCTTTAGGCAGTAATGTAGATAAAGATGGAGGAACTGATAGAGATATTAAAATAAGAATACAAAAGGCAAGAAGAGCTTTCATAGCACTAGGGAATTTGTGGAGGTCAAAACAAATTAAAAGAAATACTAAACTAAAAGTTTTTAATTCTAATTTCAAATCAGTGCTTTTGTTTGGGGCAGAACATGGAGAACAACTAAGGCAATTACTAATAAACAAACATTCATTAACTGGTGCCTGCTCAGAATAGAAGGAATTAAATGGTATGATAGAATAACTAATGTAGAGCTTTGGGAGAGAATTAAACAGACTCAGGTGGACAACGAGGTGAGGAAAAGACGCTGGCGTTGGATAGGACACACACTGAGAAAACAGGAGAACAGCATAACTAGAATGTCTTTGCATTGGAACCCACAGGGGCATAGAAATAAAGGAAGGCCAAAAAACACATGGAGAAGAGAGCTGGAGAATGAAGTTAGAAAGATAGGGATGACATGGGGAGAGCTCCATGCAATGGCGAAGGATAGAACGACTTGGCGTGAGTTCGTTGAGGGCCTATGCTCTATTGGGGGATAGAAAGGCAGAAGAATAAGAAGATATATCAAACATGTCTACATAAAATATTGAACACCTGATGTATCACACAGATTCACATACCATAATGAACACCTGATACATCACACATGTTGATATAACATACTGAAAACTGGATACATCACATATGTCCACATAACATACTGAAAACCTGATATATCACATATGTCTACATAAAATATTAAACATTTGATATATCACACCTGTCAACATTAAATATTGAAGACTCCATACATGACACGTGTCCACACATTAAAACACTTGATATATCACCCATAATTACATATTAAACAACAGATATATCAATCACACATGCTCATATAATGTATTCAACAAAAAATAAATTACACATGTCCACATAACATTTGAAAAACAGATACATCACACTTGACCATATACTGGACACCTGATATATCACCTATGTTCACATAAAATACTGAACCCTAATATATTACAAATGCCCTCCAATATACCAAAGATCTGATGCCATACGTGTCTACATAAAATATTGAACACCTGATATAACACACACAGGTGTTTGTGTGTGTGTGCGTGCATGCGTGCATGTGTATATATATATATATATATATATATATATATATATATATATATATATATATATATATATATATATATATATATATATATATATATATCACACATCCAGGTAAGATTAAATACTATATAGATTGCACATGTCACAAACAACATATCAAACACCACTGGAAGGTCAATTTGCAGTCTACTTATCTATTTCTTGAATTGTAGCACTGGCTGTTGTCATTCCTTGTGGATGTAGGATGTCTTACTCTTTCAGTCCCATAATATTGTTACTTTAACACAGTCTGTTCTAAAGTGTGTGTATATTAGAGGACAGTCTTGGAGTCTTGAAGAGATTAACCAACATACTTAAAAAAAAGAGTTGAAATAACGTTAGGAACACAATGGACCATCCTCACAGAAGAACTGAAGAGAATAGGTTATGAAATGTATACCACGTACAGAGGAATCAATAAACGCATGGTGAGTTGCTAGGTACTGAAGGAGTTGATCTTTTCCCAGGGGACTTTCTTGATTTCTTCTTCTATTTCTTCACGTACATCGCCTGTAACTCCAGTGGAAAGTTCTGATCTGACACATCTGACTTATTTGTATGCACATTGCTGGTTCCTTGCCTCTGAAGCAAATACACTCCAACCTCGAAGAAAGCCCACAATTAGTCAACTCTTACAACACACTTGTTGGAGAGCCAGTGGGTCTATTTTTGTTTTTCCTTTGATGCGGCCACCGGAATCCACATAGGAATTCTTGCTTTCTGATTAGATCTTTTTAGATATAACGCATTCTACAAGATGACTTGAGCTCTAAAATATGATCAAACAAAAAGTAAATAGCGAGCCCTTACGTAAATATAACTAACATTTAGACAGAAAATATTCAGTGTAACCAACAGCTTACAAACTTGCTTAGGTTCGTACCGCCCCTGGCACACAACTTCCTGGTGAGACAGGCATTGTCTTTTTGTGGAATGAAACAATTCTCCAACTGGACACTCATCAACAAAAGAACCCAAGAGGCTGTTGGGGCGGGAACAGTTGTAGAACTGTGCGCAGTTATCCCTCTTAGTCAGTACCAGTTGTGGGTTCTGCCGACATATCTGACTGATGTTAGCTAGCAACAGAGAAAACAAAAAATAGATGATTATGTGCTGGTTGATGATGAGAAACAGGAAAGGTTTACTGTTGTCTAAGCACTGACATTTAAAAAATAATAAGATGAATTGACTGTTTTCACAACACCAAGATCAAAATATATAAAACACTGATAAGACCATTTGTTTTATATGGCTCAACTGAAAGAGATGAAGCCTTTTTTCAGTCTACAATTACAGTCTTTTTTAGGATGAAAATTGTTGTTATTTGAAGCCCCACTCTGGCTCTTGCCAGGGGCCGCAATATAGCCAGGCCATAAATATGGCCAATTGGCTGAACGCGGTTTCTGGGACCTCTCCACAGTGATCCTCATCCACATGGTAGCACTTTGTGTCATCAGGTGTTTTTCGCTTGCTTGATGTCCTGGTGGGGTAGAAAATCAGTCAGTCAAGCCTTGTTTCTAATCTTCGAAACAAAGCCTTTAGATAAATCTTTTCCCCCATCAAAGGTGTTAACAGCGGCGAATGGAGAGTGAAAAGCAACAACAAAATTCATAACCTGTTTAACTCATCACCACTGATCACTGGTATCATGAGGGTTAATAGACCTGTAAAGTGCATAAACAGCCTGAAAGGCTTCACAGAGCATTAGTTGGAAACCCCAACAGTAATGTTACAGCACACAAACTGATACATGTTTTTAGAGATGATTATGATGTGGAAAAGCACAAAGTCCCTACCAGTAAACTAGAAACTTGATGAAGCAGATGACTGAACACAGGAGATGAGAAGAACATTGACTGATCATCAGAAACAGGAAGAATTTATTGTGTATTTGGTAAAGATCAGAAACTGTTGTAAATTGACTAAAAAAATATAAACAGGAAAAATTTGCTTTTGTGAACTGACTAATGATTAGAAACAGGAAGAATTGTTTGTGTATTGTATAATGATTGGAAACAGGAAGAAATGATTGTTGCACACTGACCACTGACAGATGTTTAGAAACAGGAATAATTTATTGTTGTGAACTGATTATGATTACAAACAGAAAGAAGTCATTGTTGCAAAATGATTATTGAATAGAAACAGGAAGAATTTTTATTGTTGTATACTGACTAAAGATTCCAACTAGGTAGAATTTATTTTGTATAGTATGACTGCATACATATAGAGAAAGAAATATATGTTAATGAGGAAAGATTGGAGGTTGTGGAAAATTTTGAATATCTTTGGTCATTGATTACCAAAAACGGTGACACATAGAAATTAAAGGATGACTATCAATTGCTCTTCAAAGACTAAATTAACTAAATAAATCATGGAGTGGGACAGACAGAACTAAAAAAATTACATTTCTAAGACCATGCATCTTGCCCAAATTGTCCTTCTTCTCTAGTGTCCATTGCAACATACACCTGTGAGATCTGGACAATTTCTAAACAAGCTGAACAGCGCATAAATGCCTTTAAATACAAATGTTACAGACGGGTTCTGAAAATATCATAGGTAAAGAAAAGAACAAATGCACTCATTCCTCAAGAACTGAATATTGAAGAAGGTTGGCTATTAAAGATGACAAAACACAGAAAATTTAAATATTTTGGTCATTTAAGCATCACAAAAGTTTGAAGAGTACAATAATGACGAGTATATGCCTGGATACAGGAAGAGGAAGGCCTAAGAGAAGATGGGTGCAGGATGTGACGGACGATCTCCAGAAGGGTGTATCGGATGCGGGAAATCTTGCTTGTGATCGAGAAGTTTTCCAGAAGGTTGTTATGGGAGCGAGGCTCTGCAAAAGACATGCTACTGACTGACTGACTGACTGACTGATAAGGACTGACCCATAAGAATTCATTGTTGTGTCTTATTCTGCCCTTTAACCCCCAACAGAACACAGAGCCTCAAAATCTCACACCAAGTTGTCCTATCTTCTGCTATTACAGTATAAGCTCCCCTTATGCACTTACCATCTTCTTTGCTTCACTCTCTAGTGTCTTTATATGTGTGTGTGTGTATTTTTTATATATATTTATTAAACAATTTTTTTTTCTTCAAATCAGCCTTTATTCCATCGATCTTGTGAGTTCTAATACATGGTGAAAGGGGATATTAAGCAATTTGAATGATGATTTTACTGCTATAAAATTCCAAGGCCCAGATGAACAGACCCACGGCTCCCCAACAAGCATGCCATAAAAGGTGACTATTAAAGAATTTAGCCAAATCAGATGTGTTGGGCCAAAAGGGGCAGATATCACTGCCTAGCAGTAAACCATAACTCAATGTACCAACCGCTCCTTTAAGGGTAAACAGGCAGACAGAGAAACAAACAATGACTAGAATAAAAATGACAGTAAGACAGTAACTGACCTGGAAAGACAGGATAGTTTACTGTGGAACTGTATGGTAATGCTGTTGTTGTTGTTGAAATAGCAGGTACCTGTGGAACTGAAAGGGTCTCAATCTGCAGGTGAAACTATTGAGTAGCATGCAAAATAAATACAATCTGGCAATACTAAATATTGCTAAACAGTTTAAATCTAAAACGTATATTTCTCTGTAACCTGGCAACATAGCTAAAGAGTTTTTACACTTTATTAAAAAAATATGATGGTAGAGTTTTTTTATGAACTACAAATATTCTAAGAAAACCAAAGTATTTTACACTTTCCATAAATATGGAAAAGATAGTGAAAGGGTTTTTATATTTTTCTAAAAGCATGGCAAATATATCTATACATCCCACAAGGGAATGACTTGTTGTTTACAAAACCAAGTAAACAAAATGTAATTTCATCAACAGAACTACAGGAATGGTTAGTTTACAATATACTGCCTGTGCATATAATCTTCTTTTTGGGTTCTAGCGATCTGCATAAGTTTATTATATTCTCTCCATCATTCCCCCATGAAGATTTTGATACTGCTTACAGGAGATATCTGTAGAGTGGATGGCTTTCAAAATAAAAAATTTTAAAGTTTCAAATTGTTAGTTAGTTAGTCGACAGATTATCCTCATTGCATGTCGAACCACTCAGTCCATAAGTGCTCGGATCCCCTTCTCAGTAAATCCAGCAGCGAGTAACGACACCAGTTCTGTACTGATTAATTTTTCTTTTTTGGCTACCCGCATAGTGTTCTTGTTTGGCGACACCTCGTTTTAACATGTTGTTCATGCAGTGTGATCATGGTTGCAGATTCACAGTTCTCAGCTGGTTCACGCAAATGTCTTAACTCTTTTAGAGTTCAAAATATTATAATTTTCAAGTGTTTAGAACTAGCAACGGGAGTATTTTTTTTCCACACTTTACTGTTTTCATGGTGCTGTTGAATTTAGAATTAAAGACCTTCACTACTGTTTGTATGTATATTATACAATATAAAACAGTGAGGAGTGTAGTAACTCACTAGATATCATTAGCAAACTCTAAATGAAATGGTTTGGCAATTTAACTTTACTGCCAACAGACAATATATTACAACAATGAATAATAAGCTAATCAAAAATAATACAAGGTGCCAACCATTAAAAGTGATGGACTGAGGGGATAAGAGAGTCTGTGAAAACAGAAATCTAATTTTTGTAGTTCTATCTGTCTCACTCCATAATTTATTCAGTTGTTTCAGTCTTTGAAGAGCAATTGGTGGCCATCGTTTAATTTCTTTTATTGTGTCACTATTGTTGGTAATCAATGAACCAAGCTATTCAGAATTTTCCACAAACTCCAATCATTTCTCATTAACATATATTTCTTCCTCCATAGTAGTTTTATCTGTATGCATTGTTTTTGCTATGTTAAGATTGAAATTGTCATTTTCACTATATCTTTGGGTTGAGGTTATTAAGTTTTCCAAACCAGTCTGTGATATGGATAGCAATACTGTATCATCAGCATATCGGATCTCTGGTATTTCATGACCACGGATATCTAGGGAATTATATTGCTCTCTGGTTGTATCATCCCTGACATTTCTCATTATATTTTCGATGTACAGGTTAAACAAATACGTAGACAGCACACAGCCCTGATGGACTCCTTGCCTGATGTCAAACCAGTCTGATGTCTCACCATCTATTCTAACCGCTACTTGTTGGTCTAGACAGAGCCTTGTTATGATGTGTTCTACATGTAATGGAAAGCCCATAATCCTCATGATTTCGAAACAGATTTTTATGCTGTACACAGTCAAATGCCTTTAAATAATCCACAAAACATGAAAATAGGTTTACATTAAATTCTCTGAACTTCTCTGTTATTTAACGCATGTTGAGAATGTGATCTCTTCTTTCTCTTACTTGTCTAAATCTCTTAAAACCATGTTAATCTGTTCTTCCATTTTCTTATGAAGTCTTCCCATTATGATTTTTAGTAGAATTTTACTTGCATGACTGATAAGGGCAACAGTTTCTATGGTATATATATATTAGTTAGTTACAGGTAGTTGGGTTATCATCATATCACTCCGGACATGTCCATAGGTGCTCAGATCCTCCCCTCAGTATGAACCCCAATGTCCAATGGCTAATAGGTACCAGTTTTAGGTTGATTAACAAGTCTTCTGGTGTGTCTGTTGTGCTTCTTTTTTTGTGTGCTATGCCAATCTAAATTCCCAAGTCTGTCATTCTGGTGCATGATGTGGATTCGCTGCCCCCAAAGTCCTCTATCCTTCCCATTTCTCTGAGGGCATTAATAATATCAGCATGATCCATAGGCTAACCGTCGGTAGTGATAGCGGATCCAGCCAACCTATCAGCTCTTTCATTTCCATCGACACCTGCGTATCCCGGAACAAAAATAAATGTGACTCCATGCACAGTGGACTTCTGTAATATTCAAGCCATTGTCTTTGCACTGAACCTGCCTGAACCCTCCGGATATATATATATATAGTGTTTATATACATATATATATAAATATATATATATATATATATATATATATATATAGTGTTTATATACATATATATATAAATATATAAACACTTTAACAGAATGACTGCAAATAAATTAACATAATCACAACAACATGATTGTGAAATAAACAAAAACCATAACACACATAAATGTAGAGAAAAGGTGAACTAAGGCATGCATGGCTGCAGGGTATATTAAAAGAACTAAATGACACTTGACATTTGACACTTGTATGGCATAATAACAGCACTATAAAATACATGACCCCGGCTATATAACCATTATAACACATGATTCTGCAGTCAATAAATGCACTAAAACATACATGACTACAACTATATAGCTAGTATAACACATGATTCTGCAGTCAATAAATGCACTAAAACATACATGACTACAACTATATAGCTAGTATAACACATGATTCTGCAGTAAATAAATGCACTAAAACTCGCATGACTTCAACTATTTAGCTATTATATACACGGTTAGTTAGTTGCGTATCCTTTATAGGACATTGCAGAACCAACCCCAACAGCCCCTGGCTGTTGTGCGATTTCTCTAGGCAAATTTACGTTCAGTAGTTTGCCATTGCTTTCTGGACTGTCAGCCCCCTGATACCACTGTTGAAACCAACGCAAGAAAATACCTCAGTGGTCTCAGAAGTTATACTATGTTTAATAATTTCTTATGGTCATAGAAGGACAAAGAATTATACTCAATAAGCACTGAGCCTAAACAGTACTAAAAATAACCGCAAGGGATTTGAGAATTGTTTAAACTTTGTTTCCCTGTCTCTCGCCAGAATATTTTGTGTAATATTACCTAATACTACCTTAGCTAGAGATTCCTTTCACAAGCCAGTGTCATATAATTATCTCCTGCCCACAGACCTTAGAGGTGAGTAACTGGGGATGTAACTTAGTATCACACCTGAGATTATCTCCCATGAACCCGACCTTAGTGTCATAAAATGTTACATAACACAGACTGAGTGGGGATTTTGAACAGAGCAGATCAGGGGAATTAAGTGGACTGGTAGACCTGACGGTGTCCTCTGGACAGTTTTTACAACTGCCAGTTAAATTAGCTGGAGACCAGATGTTTGACAATTAAGAAGGGTTGGTCTTACTGAAGGGCCTTCACTTTGAGTTACAGACCTATTGATGGCTATGTTGATTTGCAAGATACCTCAGGGGCGTGGCTTAGGTCATCTCCTGGAGGGTTGGGTGGAACCTAGTAAAGGGAGGAGTTTAACCTTGCAGACAGATAGATGTATTAATAATACTAGCCTCTGGACTTTCCATCATAATCGCTGCCACCGGCAACAAACACAGATCGACATTAGAGGTGATTCTAATTGTTTGATTCTGGTTTGGCGATTGCTGGAATGTTCCCAGGTAAGCGTGTACATTTATTTTCAATCTTTTATACATAGGTTAGGGAGTTAGCTAAAGCCTATTCTACCTTTTCCTAAATTGTCTACACATTCTGCTTGAAATAGTTCTTTGTGAGTATTCAGTATCTCAGTTAGGAAGCTGCTAAACCATTTCTATTTCTTGCATGTTTGTGTCACATGTTTTTCAGTGTATGTTTTCATGTTTATAAAAAAGGACTCGTATACTAAAATGTAATGAAATTATGTTTCAACCATCAACCAAAACATGAGTTTGGACTTTGGGAAATGATGCCCACATATGCAGCCATGCTGTTATTTTTTTTTTTTTTTGGTGTGCTCACTATGTGCTCACTAAATGTGTTCACCTAAACAGGGGATTGATAACCCCAGGGAAAAAATCATGGGTGTATAGAATTCACTGTCACTGAAAGATAATATTCAGGACCACATGCACGTATAAAATGTTTTGCGTGTCCAGCACATAACCTGCACCACGTGTTTATATCATATCAATGTCAGCAAGTTGGAAGTCTGAGTGATCACGGACAACAGACTTAAAACGTCAACTGTCATGACAGAACATGACAGGAAAGGCAGGATATGTTAGACGTCGGTGTGAGACACAAAGACCTTCAGACTAGACTGGGGAGAATGTGGAATATGAGGAGTGATGAGATTTATTTTATTATTATATATTGTATTATTTGATACATGTATTCTTAGTTTAAGTCAAGATACTAAAGGTATGTGTTTGTTTCCATGATTACAGCTTTCATGTGACGATCAGTCCTTTCTGAGAACAGAAATAGAGGGTCATCACGTGCACGAGACTACATTGTGTTAGAACTTGGCCAGCTGGGAAACAGGTGGGAACCAGGGAACCAGGTGGAAGGACCAGGTGGAACCAGGAGAACTGGGCGGAAAAGTTGGAACAGCTAAGAAGGGACTTACCACGAGGACTCTCAGAGGTTCCACTTTCTAAAACAACATAAGTTACGTATCATGTATTTATGTAACTAAACACCACCATTATCACTTCACTCTTATCTTAGGTGCTCAGTTATCTAGTTGAAGCATCTCATTACCACCATACCATCACCGTTGACTAAAAATATAAATAACCAAAATAATTGCTAGGTTAATAAATCAAATATATGGTCTTATCCTGCATCTGTTTTTGTAATTCCAAGTGTGTCTGTTCTTACATGTTTAATTTAACTGTTAAGATAAAATATCATTTGGTGGAGGCTCATTAAATAATAATAATTCTTTACCAAGGGAAGGTCGACGGAATGGGTCAACTGCCCTGTCTAGTAAATCATTCAATATAATAATATTTATAGACATCTAAAACCCATTTCCTTCTCTTGTGGGTACCAAGTGCAGCTAATGTTAAAATAATTAACGAGCCAATATGACTGTTTTCTTGGATATCGAAGACTTTGTCTGAGAGCAACATAGCCCAGATATTAGTTCAGTTAACCTGGTGGAGGGGATGTGTTGAAAGGGAAATTCCCTACTCAACATATAAAATTCAGTTAAACCCAAATCCAGGGAACCCACGACCTGTTACATCACACTAAGGTTTAGTAGTACCAAAAGGTCAAGGGCCATTACGTCACAGGCACTCCGGCATTACGAAGCGTTCGCATCGACTTAGCCACACAGCCGACATTAAAACACATGACTGTGCAGTAAATAAAAAGACTAAAATTCACATGACTTTAACTATATAGCTGGTACAACACATGACAGTGCAGTAAATCTAAAAGTGACATGACTTTACCTATATAGCTGGGACTGAGCCTCGAGAGGCAGGGGGTAAGAAGTGTTGGTGTTGTGGGTAGTGGGTTCCCCCCCTTACTTCACCCTAGGTCTAGTGAATATCTGTTCACGAAAGGAGCGTCCATTGTGGTGTCAGCCTCTTGACCTAGCAAAACCTCTCTTACCTCAAGACCATTGTGCGTGGCGAAGAGTCACAGCCTCCCCGAGGTAGTCCCGGTAACTGGGGGTGCGAATCCCCAGGCAAAACACAATGGATCTAGAGGAGCAAACCTCGATAATAAACCCGGTGCACCACACCGTACTGCCCCCTGTGGGAGGGAAGGAGCCAGAGGTGTGCTGAACAGTCTTAGGAATGGAAACAAGTATGCTAACCCCCCTGAATACCGGAAACTATCGTGAAGGCACAGGGACTCAGGACGTGACGATCCAGTTGCCCCAACTACTCATGCTTAGAGACATGAAGAGCTCAGCGAAACCTGCAGGCAATCTGGTGGCGGGGAATGAGCACACTGTGAGCCCCACCTTAGCTACGTGTTAAAGGGAAAGGCAGAAACACAACCCATATTTCCTTTAGAACTGGTACAGGGCATTTCTAGCTGCTGCCCGGGGAGGTAGGTAATCCACAGACACCCCAGCACCACAATGCCATGAATATGTCAAAATTTACCTATATAGCTGGTACAACACATGACAGTGCAGTAAATCTAAAAGTGACATGACTTTACCTATATAGCTAGTACAACACATGACTATGCAGTAAATAAAAAGATTAAAAGTCACATGACTCTACCTATGAAGCTAGTATAACACATGACTGTGCAGTAAATAAAAGGACTCAACACACATGGTTCTGTGAAGTAAAGAAAAGAATCATGACATAATCACTGTTAAATAAATACAAGAATTATAACACAGATGGCTGAATGGAAAAACAAAAATGTGCAAGTATATAAACATACATGGCTCCATAAAGATGGGTCTCCCTGCACAGTTGACCTGGTGGTAAGGTAAACACAGGTGCAGAATGACATCATACAAGTCAGGGTAGGTACACTCTGTCACCTCAGACATAGAGATTGCACAGTCATAATACTGGGCACAGTTGCGTGGGTTTTGAACTCTTCCCATCCTGTACTTTGTGCAGTATTCCATGAGAGATGCTGTAAATAAATGTTGAATCAACCATTGAGAAAACAGCATCCTCTGTGCGCACTAAACAATTCAGTCCATAAGATCCCCTCCTAAGTAAATTCCAAGAATTAACATATCAACTATTTACACAAGGCCTTGGCTCCCAGGTCAACCCAGCCTTAAGTGGATGGCGGGTGCAGTCCTGGGAAGTAAAGGTGGCCGGCAGGATGTTGACCACATCACCCATCTTGTGCCGATAGGTCTATAAAATATAGGTCTAGCCCTAAATGCCTAAAGCCGTGGAGAGGTTTACTTACTTAGTATTTACACAATATACATGTCCACTTTACCAATTTGTTAATATCTTGCCTCTGTGCATCTGGCGTAATGCTGACCACATTACTCATCCAGTGCCGATTGGTCTGTAAAAATATGGGACGCTCTTCCCATATACCGAATGCACCTAATGCATGAAAAGGGATCTTTACTTTTACTTACTTTTCTGTGCATCTGTGACTTGGATTTTGCAAACTTGTTTTATAACACTCATATACCCAGTTTAATTCTGGCTGCAGGCAGTTCGGCAGCAGACTGTTTTGTGTTGGTTTTGACAATGTTAAGGCTGTTTCTGTAATTTCCTGCAACTAACTAACTTTGGTATTTATCTAACATGTTCTATGGCATCTCTACTCTTTACAATTCAGTTTTCCAATAGAGATGCTGCTGGCCAAATGCACTAGTGATGCAACCCTAAATCTTCCAGTTCATGGCCTCACTGTTTAACACCATAATGTGGTAAATACTGACAATATAAACAGCTTTCAGATCTTCCAATACAGTACTGCCCTCAACCAGCTCTTGCTTTTGGAGTTGTTCATAGTTTGGTTTGCTTGTAACTCGTAGCTCAGATTTGCAAAAAAGGCATATAAGTATATGGCTTGCAGTATATTCCTCCATTCTATTCTATCCTGTAAAATCAATTCAGTATCATGGCTTCCATCAATACACCTCTATGACACTAATGGGTCAAGGGTTATGTTATGTTAAAACTGAAATAACATTAGAACTGAAAATTTGTAAAGAGGTTTTCATACAATAAATAAGAGTTTCATATTCTGTTGAGCTTTTTTAAAGCTTCTGATGCCTTGCCAGTGTGCATCATAATTTTTTTCTTTGTTGGACACTGAATAAAGTGTATCAAGAAAAGATATAAAACTGAACTAAAAGTATATCAGCAAGCTTCACAATATACAAGTGAGAGAGTAGCAATAAGCTAGAAGCAGCGTCCCTGGCTGAGGTGTTGGGAGTCCGACTTGTAATTCCAAAGTACTAAGATCCAATCCCACAGCTGGCTGCATGATTTTTATCATGGTATGGGGCATCGCAGGTGGACCCAGCCCTAAATGAGTACCAGGATGTATGTCCTGGGGAAGTAAAGACTGCCGGCGTAATGCTGACCATATTACCCATCTAGTGCCGATTGGTCTGTAAAAATATGGGTGCTCTTCCCATATGCCTGATGCACCTAAGGCGTAAAAAACAAAAAAAGGATCTTATAAACTAGAGCGGTGTCCGTGGCTTAGGCATTGCGAGTCCGACTCCCAATCCAGCGTACTGCGATCGAAACCCACTGCTGGCTGCGTGGATTAGTATCATGGTATGGGGCGTCGCAGGTCGACCCAGCCTAAAATGGGTACCAGGATGGCTGTCCTGGGCAAGTAAAGACGGTTGGCGTAATGCTGACCACATTACCCATCCAATGCTGATTGGTCTGTAAAAATATTGGACACTCTTCCCATATACTGGATGCGCTTAAGGCATGAAAAGGGATCTTTACTTTACTTTTTATAAGCCAGACCAGGGATGTAGTTTTACTGCTCAGGGTAGAAACATTCTGGGGGCACTAAAACTCTGAGAGTGGTAAAATATAAATAGTAATAGTAATAAAATGTCAGCTTAAGCATTTTGAATGCATTTCCTAATGTCAGGGTGCTGGGTTTGATCCCACCTGCAGACAATTAGGCAGCAGACTGCCTTGTATTGGTTTTGACTGTGATAGTGAAAGCCAACCATTTGGAGGTAATGGCTAACTACTGAAAGTAAATTTACTTAGAAAAACCAACAGCCAAAAAATGCTGGGGTTGGTTCTGTTTTAATAATAAAATATTTTTTTTGTGTGTGGGTGGTGATAGTGATACTGAAGTTAATCTGAGGGAAGAGGGCTATAACATATTGACTGCACAGGGGCAGAATTACATATTTTGGTGGTGATAGTGATACTGAAGATGAGGAAACAAGAACACTCAAGAGAAACCCTACAACAAACACTGATTACAGAGACTAGATTGGACTGGAATCTATAAACGATACTGAAAAAAATGCACAAGATAGTATGGAACAGAGGAATCAGCTGCATGTCCTGCCCTGTGTGATTTATAAAAAACACAATAGGATAACGTTTTTTAAGTAGATAACTATCTCTCCTTGTTAACTTATCTCCTGCACTACCCAAACATGAATCAGGCAGAGAAATGCACACAAAGACACAAGGAAAGCATAACGGGGCATGTAACTCACTTGAATAGACAGTATCTGTACATGTCAGGGATCTGATGTCGAAGATGTGTCCACTGGCACATACACCTGATCCCACAATCCTCTGGTCCTTGCACACAATGTAATCAGCTGTCATCTCCTGGCATCAAGAGATCAACTGAGGTTACTCATCATCATCATCACTATCACTATCAAAACTATCACACTAATGAACTCCTTTATCTTCAGTGAGTACTAATGCATGAAGATTGTATTTATCATTAGTAAACAAATTAAAAAAAGAGAAAGATTCCTTTTCATGCCTTAGGTGCATCGGGCATATGGGAAGAGCACCCATATTTTTGCAGACCAATTGGCACTAGGTGGGTAATGTGGACAGCATTACGCTGGCCACCCCCCAGGACATACATCCTGGTACCCACTTTAAGCTGGGTCGACCTGCCACGCCCGTACCATAGACAAATCCATGCAGCCAGCAGTGTGCGTTTTGATCACGGTACATTGGAATTATGAGTCAGACTCGCAACGCCTAAGCTATGGATGCTGAATATTCATCCTTAACAGGCAACAAGTACTTGAGCTTAACAAGAAATGTCCATGCCTGTGGCCTAGGCTTTGCAAATGTGCTTTGTAATTCCAAGTAATATGTTCCATACCAGCTGCAGCCGGTTCAGCAGCAGACCACTTTGCTTTCGTTTCAACAGAGGTATTTAGAGCCAATGATTAGGAAAATAATGGCAAACTAATGAATGCCTAATTGCCCAGCAAAACCAAAACAGACAAAAAATGCTGGGGTTGCTTCTGCAGCATCCTTTAAAATATATGCAACAATGATCTAACACGCGATAGAACGCACATCCTAATCTGGCCAGGTCACTACACTCAGAGGAAAGGCAAGACAGACTTTTAACCAGATTGTGACCATAAGTTTTGGAACTCTGTGCTGGCTGCTGAAGATGAGGACGGAGCATGCCTGGGAATGCCCTGAGTGCTGTGAAGTCCATTCTTGACTCAATTCAACTATTCTCTTTGCCACTATACAAACAGTACAACTCATTTAGATGCTACAAGCATACAAATGCTGGTAAATCCATATTTTTTTTCCAATGCTGAGCAAGCCCCCTGAGGGGTACTATGGTCATTTTTACACAAACCAATTGACTTTTCATTTCTTGTTGTCATTCAACGAGAGTGAGTCAGTCTCACAGTTACACTGACTGGTAAACTTTGTTCTTCCAGTGGTGATCAATTCACAACCATCCTGTCAATAGTGTGCATCAAAGTACCATATTAAAATGTAATGTATGTTAGATTTATGAAAAGACAGGAAACTAACGTGACTAGATCCTCATGTTGAGAAGCTCTTAGCATGCTTTAAAAGTAATAAAAAACTGTAAATGCTGCACACTATAGTGATCAATAATATGTTATAGGCAAAATACTAAAGGTTAAGGAATGTCAATTCAGCATCAATGCCTGCCGAGAAATGGAAACTGATTAAAAAAAAAAGGCATTAAAAGATTTAAAAAAAAAAAACACACACACACAAAATACACACACGTGCAGGCACGCGCATGCACTTCCTCCACCCTGTCATCTGTACCTTCTCAGAAGGGTTGAAGAGGTCTTACCAAATCCTTGAAACAACACTATGAGATGTGTAACAGAGTGTCATTAATATACATGACCAAAAAATAGTAAACATAGAATCAAGCCCTGGAGTACCCTTATATTTCACAGAGTGGATTTTGATGGACAGTTTTTTAAGAACACTACTTGCCGTCTATCAAATAAAACTGAGGGCATTAATTTCACTAAAGTATCATTAGTGTTCAAGGCTTTTAATTTACTAATTAAAATATCATGATCTCTATATAGAAAGCTTTCCTAAAGTCCACTCCATAGATGTTACCATCGTTGATATTAAAATACCAGTTGTCAGTTATTTTTCTCAAGGCAGTATAGCAAGAATACTGAGGTCTGAAGCTGGATTGACTATCGATTATTAGGTTACTATTAGTTAAATGCTGCAATGTTATTTTGTGTATATGTTTCTTTAACAGTTTGGATAGTTACAATGGCAAGGGGGAAAGGGGGGGGGGGGGGGCTAACGGTGAAACAGGGTTAGAAATAAAAAGGAGACAAAGAATTAAGGGAGTAAAGAGAGAGGTGAGACAGAAATGGTTAAAAAAAACCCAGAGAGAGTGAGAAACATTTGAAGGCTGTATATAGGAAACACAGATAACACCTACCTGACTGATTGCTGGGTAATAGTTATCTGCCTTGCCATAACAAGATGGCATGACCAGCTCACACCTGGTGCAGTCTTTAGTCATACAACGGTTGCTGACATAGTCACCTGGGGAGTGGCACAGTGATGTGAAGTGAGTCTCTGTAGTGTTACAACTGACTGGACCCATTTTTTTTTTACATTTATTCTGTCTGCATGTAAACAATAAAGGACCTTTTTTTTACACAAGTAGCATATCAGCCATAGGTTGCAACACTCATATTTGTGTAGATTATATCTGCATGTAAACAATAAAAGACCTTTTTTTACACAAGTAGCATATCAGCCATAGGTTGCAACACTCATATTTGTGTAGATTATATCTGCATGTAAAAAGGAAGTAAAGAAAGGACCTTTACCACAACTTTAGGCATACTGGGCACATTGGGTTAGACCTGTATTTGACAGACCAATCAGCTCTTGATGGATGATATGGTCAACATCACGTTGGATATCTGCATGTACTTACCTCTATATCAAACTTCTGCCTTCTTCTTCTTTGTCCTAATACTTATGTTGTAAATCATCACAAAGAGTTTGATGTATTTTGCTAGATTTGTAGCTAGTCAACTTGAGTTTCTGTAGTGCCCCTTTTAGTTCCTCCACCCATCTTTCTTGGTCAGTCTTTTGACTTGTAGCCTGTTGTTCTCATTTAGTATGCTCTTACTATCATCGTCATCATCATCATAATCATCATCATCAAGTGCCTTGCTGGCTGACATTGGTGATCATGCCTCTCTATAATCTGCCATCTGCAGCTGTGTGTATCAGTTCATGTGTTGTCACCCCTCCACACCATGTTAAAAGGTTGTCAAGAATCATCTTGTGCTGTCTTCCTTTGTCACTCTTTCCACAAATCTTTCCAGTGGTCACAACATGTTCCATTTTTCCTCTTCTCATAACATGACCCAAAAAATGATAAGTTGTCTTTGAGCACCTGCCTCTCTCAAAACAAATGGGTTACTCTTCTTAGCTGTCCAAGAAATTCTAAGGATTCTTCTGTAAAACCACATCTATGAGGCCTTAAAGTTCTAGCTATATCAATATTACAAATTCAAACAAGTCAAATTAATAATTAACTTTCACAGTTATTGCAGCTAAATTGAGACTACATTGTTGTATGCATGTCATTTTGTTTTAATAAGATAGCTCCAAACAGTTACAAGCACCCTTGACTTCAGTTTGAAAGATTTATCTGCATTATCTGTATTGTAAAATTAGCTTCATAAGATCATATCACCTTGACAGAATAGTATTACTGATATAACTTCAACAACAATCAAACAAGTGAAAGATGTATTTTTAACTCATTCAATACCAAACACCTCACAATATCTTTATTCCTAATTTTAAAGATTATATAATTTTCTTGTTATCTTCTATCATAGGCCAGTGTTACATTATCTCTTTTGCATCTGAATTGTTAGCTGACCTACTTCTGTCCCCATAATGTCTTCACTGAACTTCACCAGACCTAAGTATTTACTGCTCTTAATGACAGTTCCTTGGGATAGAAGCAGTTAAACTACCAAGTGCTTGGGACTAAAGAGTTAAATATCCTGCTCACAGTTCGAAATATCCTTGATTATAAATTCCCAAAACTGTATTTAGTTGGAAAAGTCACCCTTAAAGACTGTAACCTTGCTTCACAAATTATATTGTGATAATGTACAGTAAAACCATGTTAACACAAATTCCAAGGGGCCAAAATTAAGTTCCTGTTAAAAACAATCTGTACTAACCAGGGACTACTAATAATAATGCATGCCTGCTGGGACCAACATTTTCTTTTTGATAACAGATCATTTTTCTCAAGTGCCAGTTCATGTTAACGAGGTTTAACAAAATAAAGAAATTTTGCAATAGCGTGGTGAAATGGAAACACAGAGAGATCTGCAATAATGCCAAGACTATATTATAAGGACATCTGCTATTGCTACATGAAAGAAACTAACATTGACAGAGGCACTCAGGAGAGATCAGCTGCAGACTAACTCCTATGAAGGCAGACAATGAATGAAGGACCGCTGCACTTTGCGAGAGGCCAAACACAGCGAGCTACACAGAGGAGACGGCCCAAGAGAAAACCAGCATGTATAACAGAATACCAACTTTTGTATGTGAACTATGTGGCAGAGACTGACTGCCAATCCCACATTGGATTTCACAGTCATAGCAGACACTGCTCTGAAAATCAGCAGAACAGCTCTTGGTCCCTAGGGATTGACGGTTGCCTACCCAGGATTAAAAGAAGCAAACAGTGCATCAGTGGTCACATGAAAACAGGCATTTGATGAAAACAAATAATCTGAAGAAAATAAACAATATAATCAGCACTGTCCTTGTTGTGGTGTACTATTTCTAGATAGTGCGATTGTACTCACAAGGAGAAAAAGGCTCTCTCCGTGCCCCACACTTAACAAGTGTGTGAGGTTTGCAGGTGATAGTTCCAGAATCAACCAGGTAAGGGTACTTGCACTCAACAGCTCGAGGTGGCAGGTTTGGATGAGTCTAGAAGCAAGAAAGAACAGAATTAAATTTGAAAAGTACTGTACATATCTCACCTTACTTGCAAATACCACTGTATCAGACAGGATTTGGAACACATATAACAGGAGGCTGTGGAATTACATGATGACTAACACCAAAGTGCATGGACTGTAAACAAAACATCATAAAATTCACCTGAGTTTCCAGACAGAGATGAAGTAGGTGTGCTGTATGAAATTCTATTCCAGCACAAAATTCTAGGGATAGCTGCTGCCATGGATAATACCTCCTGGGCACCAGTTAATCACAGACACAATGTTACTTGAATAACTCCTACGGTAAAGTATGTTATTTGCTTCATGAAAAGAATAAGGGGACTGAATGTAGAATGAGCAACAGTCAGTGTATGGAAGTTGTTAATGTCAGACCATGTATGAGATAACAGTGTGTGTACTTCATGGTGAAGTGGTCAAGCCATTAGCCTTGCATTCTGAAGGTTATGGATTTGTTTTACAGACTTTGCTGTGCGGTTCACAGGTGCAATTTTTATGAAGATCACTTGGAACTGTAAATGGTGCCATATATATACATATATATATATATATAGTTCATCCATGTGCTTTGCTCTCGGCAGGCGAATAGTGGTTCTGCGGAGAAAGACCAAGCCATATGGGATAAAACCTTGTGCAATGAAATTGAACTTTAAAACTTAGTAAAAGTTAGTGGTTTTCAAACTGGAGCACGCACCCTTCTAGGAGGCAAAGGAAGCTCCAAGAAGGATGTTGAACAAATTTTGAAACTGAGCGCATTATTAATTGTAATACCTATTAGTTAACTTTTCTCCAGTTAAATTATAAATAAAAAAAAATTTTTCAACTAGTTATAAAACAAAGATGTTGGTGATTGTTTCTTTTGTTATTTGACACTTTGATTTATGTGGATGTTTTTCTCCAAGTTCTTGTTAACAATGTTGGGATTTTTTTCTTTTTTGTCATCTTTTTTTTCAAAGATTTAAAAAACATAGCTGGGTGGGTGTCTTGCTACGTAATAAAGAGTGGCAACTTCTGAAAAAGTTTGAAAATCACTGTTTTAGATTATATAAAGATTCATTCAAGAAATCTCCAGTGTAACATTCCAGTATGACTTTTATAAAAATAAAAAGAGAAATGATCACATGATTTTGTGATTTAGCAGTATTTCACCTGTCTATGTGACTACATCTATCTACCTGTGTGTCATTTTTATGAGCACAGCTGTAGAAGACTGAACACTCTACCTACCTACCTGTGTGTCATTTTGATGGGCACAGCTGTAGAAGACTGAACACTCACTAGGGTGTAACAAGCGACCATTAGGATTGGTGCTGCAGTAAACATCCAGAGTCTCTGAAAAAACCCCACATCAAAACCATTAATTTTGCTCTTTGTACAACCACAACAAATTCATGATTTACTGATTTAAGAATCAACATCACAGCACACTGGGCATACCCATAGATGCTCCGTCTCCCACAGCAAATGTCTGAAGGTGTAGATGCTAACTGTTCTTGTAGCAGGATGATTATGCTACTGTTGTTTTCTTCCTCTTATACACCCGTCTTTGTCGGATCCACTCATAATTCTTCATTAACACATTCTTACACATGTTATTTCATCTAACCTTGTGTCTTCTATCAACATTTGTTCATATTTGGTTTTCACATCTCCCTTGTCCTGTACAAGTGATCCCATAGCTATCGCTTTTGTAGCCAGAAAATTATTTCCCCGCACTCCTGCATATCCCAGACAGTATATCCACGTGATTCCCTACAATGCTGACATACTGATGCTTGCTATTTACTCATTCAACATTTGTCCACTTTGAACTTTCTGCAGTACCGACTGAGAATAAGACACAATTATTTGTCTTATAAATTTATTTTCTGCTATCTGCCTTAGAGATAAGTGATTGCCTCCAACTCCATACTCATGTTTGAAGCTGTAGATAATAAAAAAAGTTCTATTTTGTTTTGCCACAATCTTTCCCTCTATTTTAGTTGAATAACCAAAGCCGGATCTTACCCTCCCTCCACACCACCTTTAAAAATGATTCCAGGGTATTCAGCTTTGATGATGTTTCTCAATTTAACACCAACTTGACAGTTCAGTATTATTAGGTTACCCACCAGTGCAGATGAGAGTTGTATAAACTCAGGGTATCTTAATGTGTGCAAGGGACAATAGGGTTGTACCAATATTTCCAATAACCTGTCTAGTGTGAGTGAGGACAATATGTGAGACCACTGACTTTGACCAGGTTATAAGACCAGCATGGTTGGTTCAGGAGGCAGCTGTATACAGTAGTGTGAAGAAAGAGCAGCGTGAGTTGGGCACACAAAGCTATGTGAACCAGAGGCAGGTTAGGAAGAGATACTGAGTGTCTTTGTGAGGCCAAGAGAGTGAATTTCATTGCCCGATACAGCAGGGAATGGACGAGAAGCTTTGAGCTAACACTCAGGGACAAAAGGATGTTTTCACCTCAGAACCCTGAGTTCCCCCTCACTGGACATTTCAGCCACAGTGAGGAGCAAGGATTTTGGGCAGCACAAGTCTGACCCAACCTTGCATTCCTGCCAAAAATTACAGCTTAATCTACTGTCTTATCTACACTGTTATTGTGTGATGCAATAGTAAAAATCAAAGAATAAAGGCTGATTCAAAGAAGGGAACTTTTTGTATCAAAACATATCTCAGAGTCATCCTTGCTATCCTGGGAATGAAAGTCATTTGTGATTGCTGTCCTGTCTTCTTCTTCTTCTCTTCCACCTTGTACCTCATCGAAGTGTCGGGGAAAAGGGGGGGGGGGGGATGTAATATTTGTTGATGAGCTCTGTCAAGGCACTATTAAGACATGTTCATTTCTGACTGCTGTCCTGTAACTTCTCATTAATTATGGACTAAGACACAACCCCTAGCAATGAACTCTGACCTGGGAGCCAGGATCCTCAATACTCTCCTCAGGTTTGAAATGTTCAACATTGGCATCCCTGTTGGAAAGAGGATTAATTAACAGTCTCGTGGCGCATAATTTTACATCTCCTGACATTCAGTAACTCTTAGCAATAAAACAAATCATAAAAACAACAGAACTTACGAGTGCTAATTTCTGTGAGACAGGAACGCATTTGTGGGTCAAATACAGATCCGGCTGCACAGACTCTCTCATCTATAGTCCTCTGCTTCTGACATACCAGATAGAAACCAGTGAGAACTTGGCCTGGGTAAGCGTTGGGTCCATCTCGCAGACCCAGGCAGGAAGCCACGCAAGGGATGCACTGAGTATCACTACAGTGTCCCACCACATAGTCACCTGTTAGCAGAAATAATAGCTATCTGTGTCAGGTGTATATCCATATGTTATTTACTTGCACAATTTCAGACTCTCGCTCACTCAGCCAGTCAAGGATCCATTTAACGGATTTCAAGGAGAAAGCATTCTACAGGAAAATGGAAACACCCAGAGGCAAACGGAGACCTAGACGAAGATGGATTGAAAAAGGAATCACTGACAAATCTAAGACTTTACAATGTCAGAGCATATCCAGGCAAATGAATGTACTCTAGCTTAGATACGCAGCACATGGCAAACTGCAACACAAAGCAGAAATTGACAAAACAAAGAATAGCAAAAGTATCTGTTATTGTTAAATGTTTGTCAAATCAATATTACATTAGCAAGGGCAGTGATTCCCAATTAGTAAATACCACCAAGGAGCTATGGGAGGAGCAGTGACTTTAAAAAGGTCATGCAGCTAACTCTTACTTTTAACTGAGTAATTATCCTTGTGTGGGTTCAAGAGCCTGTAGTTGGGGCAATTTGGGGGGAAGGCGTGGGGGGGGGGGGGGGGGGGGGTGCGGAAGTTGACTTTGCTGCTCCTTAAAAATATGTCTAAAAAAGAACTAATTAAGGATTTGGTAAAATTGGATATGTTGGGCCAAAAGGTATAGATATCACTGCCTACCACAATACAACTTATAAAACGCCCTTTTAATGGTGATAACTTGTTTAAGAATCTACATAACAGCACACTGGGTATACCCACAGATGCTCTGTCTCCAGCAACAAATGTTTTAAGGTGTAGATGCTAACTGTTCCCCTAGCACACTGATTATAGACTCATCATTCTCTTCCTCTCAAATGCCGGATTCATTCCTAATTCCATGTTAAAACATTCTTACAAGTTATTTCATATAATATCATGTCTTCTATTAGCATTTATTCATAGATGGTCTGCAGAATATCTCCTTTGTCCGGTTTGAGTGTTCCCATAGTTATCACTTATATAGCCAAAAAACCGCTCATTCATTCCCTCGCACTCCTAGATCTCCTGAAAAGTATATCCATGTGCATCCCTGTAATGTTGACGTACTAATTATTAGTATTCACTCATGCCACAACTGTCCATTCTGAACTTTTCCACCTGACCAGAACAGACCAAGTCACAGTTTTTCGCTTACAGACTCAACACTGCAAACTCAACAAACTTCTTCGTTACATCCTCTTTAACCCCTTCGGTGTCGAGGGAGATATAAGGTCCTGCTTCGTGCTTTTCTGCTTCGATCATACACATCATGGTACTGTAGAATTTCTCTGATGTTATCCTTCCATATTGTACTTGCTCAACCCCTTGCTCTGCGTCCCACTCCTCTTTTGGTGTGTGCCTTTAATGGTATAGCATCAGAAGGCTTTCTTTTCAAGTGGGCAAACCATTTGATTTGTTGTCTTTCTATGCAATTTAGAATTGGTTCTGTGCCGACTTCATCTCGTATGACCTCATTCCTGATTTTATCTCTTCTGGTCACCCCTACAGCCTTTCTCAGACACCTCATTTCCATGGTAACTAATT